CACAATGAGTTATAGTTGAGGGACTGAGTTACAAGTGAATTAAAAGTTGAAAGACTAAAAGATTAATCTTTCCTAATTAATTCAATATATTTTACTTAAAAAACATTTTATTTAATTAATTAATAATGAAATTTAAAATTTAACTATGTAATATAAATAAGTTGAAAGTGCAAAAAATATCGACTAATTAAATGTACAAAAAATTATTTCTAAAAAATATTTTTAATAAAATGATTCCACTAAATTAATCTTAATGTGGAGAAGTACTTAAAATATTGGTAATGCTATAACTAGAGTAGGATAAATTAATAATATTAGCCAATATATTCAGCTATTTTGTATTACTAATATAATGTAGTCAATAATAAAAAAACTCTAAGTTCTTAATATAAAAGAGTTTAAGTTTAATTTGAATTTTAAGCCAAATAAGTTAAAATTTCAAAAGAATTGTCAATTTTAATTTGAATTTTCATCCTCATTTATATTATAATAATTAAAAGAGTAAAATAAATTTACTTCATTTCTAATTTATTTTAATTAAATATACACATTTTCTATTTTTTAAACATACACAAACTTTGAATAAATTAATATTTTTAAAACACAAACCTCATTTCTATTTTAAAAATTTCATTTTCATTCACCTAACTATTAGTTGATTATTAAGTTATATATTAAATCAAAATATCCTTTTTAAATATGTGTGTGTGCACGTGTTATCTAACAATCATTCAATATATCTAAAAAAGTTTAAGGCATATATATTTTTTAACATTTTATTCATATTTTAAACTTTGTAGATTTTCAAAATTATTTATTTAATAATTTTTTAAAATATAAATGCACAAGTTGTCTAAAATAATATTTCAAACACTTATATACTAGCTTAATGAAATAGGTAAGTAATATATAATGAAAATAAATTAGTCAGCATAATTTATGCTTATTTTTATTTAAATTTTATTAATCTAATCACAAAATTTCTAAATTAATCATTTTAAAACTTTCACATTTAATTATTAAAAGTATTTTACAAATACATTGTAAGGGAAAATTAATACTTAGGTTTCTTAATATAATTAAAATTAAAAAAATTAAAAGTATTTTACAATCTTTACTTAAATATTTCTGTCAGGGCTAAAAATTGGACTAAGGTGTGAATTTTAAAAAATAAAAGGGATGTCCATGTAATTTTAGCAAATTGAAAGGGAGATGATCAGATAATTGTATTTTACTCTAGTTAAAATAAATGGTATTTGCTACTATATATATTTCATTGAAGCTATATATTATACCAATTAACCAAGAAAGATTACTCTAATTAGATGTTGGAATAAAATAAAGAAGATTGAAAGAGAAAGGAATGGATAATTAAACAATTAAAAATTTAAAATGAAAATTATAAGTAAGTTAGCTTATGGGTTGACGGGTCGGGTTAAATGGTGCTAGTCAAAACTGGCCAACATCTAATTGAGCTCTAGACTATACAACCTAACCCGTCACTCTTTGGCAGGGTTTGACCTACTGGCTTAACTTATATTACCAGCTTTAATTGAAAATGAGAAAATACTACAATCTAACAGGAAAAATCTTAAAGATTACGAGCTCATACTTTTATCCAACATGTTAAGTTTGAATGCAAGTAAAAATGAATTAATAAGAAGTGAACTAAATTATGATAGGGTTGCTTTATATATATGAAGTGATAAGGTTGCTTCAAAGCCTAACTTCTTAAAAAAAATATTTAATAAAATTATTAATGCCATTGAATTTGAAAAAGGAAATATTTTTTTTCTTATATGGATATGGTGGTACTAGGAAGATGTATTTTTGGCAGACACTTTATGCTTCATTAAAATCTAGAGATAAAATAGTTTTCAATATAACATCAAGCAAGATGGCTTCTTTAATACACCCAGGAAGATAAACAACTTGCTCAAATGTTTTATTTATCTTTTTATGATTGAAGACATTATATATAGCATGAAACAGGGGAGTAACTTGGCTAAATTATTAGTTTATAAGTTATTGATTAGATGAGATGAGGCTCTAACAACACCCAAGTTTTGTCTTGAAACTCTTGACAAATACTTAAAGGATTTTCTAAAGTTAAGTAGCCATTAGCTAGTGATTCTCCTTTTGAAGGAAAAGTTGCTATAGTTGATGAGGACTTCAAGCAAATTTAGCCTTCCTGTTATTCTAAGCAGGTTAATAGAAGACATTATTTTTGCAACCATTAACTTTTTGTTTTGAAACAATTGTCAACTTCTTACACTAACGATAAAGATGAGACCACTAGCAACAAATAATGGAGCATTTATTAGTGCTTTTATGGATTTTGCTGATTGGGTTATCTCATTTGATAATGGATTGGAGCTAATGAAAGATTTATGAATATTAAGATCCTAATTGATTTGTTATTGAATGGTTCAGATAATCCAATAAAATCCAATGTTGATTCAACTTTTTTGGATTTCCTTACCAATATCTAAAATTCTTCATATTTTAAAGATAAGGCTATAGTAGCTCCTATGTTTGCTGTGGCTGAAAAGATAAATAACTACGTGTTGGTCCTACTCCTCGAAAAGAGAGTTGTATACTTGAACTTTGATAGTGTTATTAAAGATGATGGGGATAACTAATGACTTGCACTAATACAAATTTTCTAAATTAAATTACAATGTCAAGCATCCTGAATTATGAAATAAAGCTTAAAATGGGTGGCCCAATTATTTTAATGCAAATCAAAAACATTGACAAATTTATGGAGTCATGTAATGGTACATGTTTTATAGTTATATGAGCTAGAAAATAAGTTATTGAAGTTTGAGAAATATCTACATTAATTACAAGGATGAAAGTATGTAGATCATGTATTGCTATGTGTCCATCTGATTTAAGGTTGTCAACTTGTCATTTACTATGAAAAGGAGGAAGTTTCCCATTGTGTTAGCCTTTGCAATGCGCATTAATAAGAGCTAAGATTAGATCCCATGTTATATTGATTTGTGCATATCTCATCATGTTTTCACCAACAATCAATTATATGTTATTGTTTCTCGTGTTCAAAGCATGGAGAGTCTAAAAATATTAGTTCTTAATGAGGATGGTTGTTTCAAAGATATAATTTCTAATATTATTTATAGAAATATCTTTGATAATTTGATCTAAATAATTATAAATTTTTGTTAATATATTTTTCATTACATCCATTTACACAATATGCATTTGGTTTTACCATTTGCTTTACTTTGATATATATATATATATATATAGATATATATTTAATATTAATGATTATAATTTATAATTACACAATCCCATTACATATAGGATGATATATATGGATAAAATATATATTATAAATTATTTTTTTAAACTTATTCATAAAAATTGTAATATAAAACCCGTGCATAGCATGGGTTCTTTACTAGTTTTTTTAAAAACAAATTGTAAATATTAAATGACAACAATAAATTCAAAAATCTTAATTACAAATTGTAGATAAGATATTTAAATTTTAAATATAACTATCAATTTATAATTGAGATTTTTATTTTTTAAAATTTGAATTGATATTTGTAATTTATTTTTAGAATTTTCTTAGGGCAAAACCATCATCAATTCGTTCTATTGGAATTAAAATGTCATTCTCAATACGAAAATTCAAAAATCATCATGTCTCGGGTTCCATAATGCAACAAATGTAAAGGGCTCAGACTTCAAAACTTTTTTCCCCACAATATTGACTAGTACAAATAGAATGGCCGGCATCGCTAGTTGATTGAAATATTAGAAGCATATAAGAAGAAAAATAAATTAATAAATTCATTAAAAATAGTTTTACTGTCACATCGTTCATTTCTACTCTCTCAACAAATCATTTTTAACTGTTTTATGAGATTTAATAAGAACTAGTTAAATTATTGATAATGTCTAAATAAAAAAGATTTTCAAGTTAATAGATTATTTACATTTTTTAACAAATTAACTTATAAAAAATCATCAATTCCTTTTAATAGATTATTTATATAATGATATGCGAAAGGAATATATAATGAAAATCAATCTGTTTCTGCGCAATTTCCGGATAACCTTCATTTTCAATTCAGGTAAACCACACTTATTTTTGTCATCTCTTGTAAACCAGTCAGAAATGTTACATCCCACCAACTTATTAGTAAATCAACTCACGCAACTCTAACCTTATCATGGTTTGAGGGCCGAAAAAAAACCTTATCATCCTATAATCGAAGAAAATCTAACCTTATCACCATTTTTTAAAATTTTCGCCATCATATATACATCAAGAACAAAATATCCATGTTACCTGTCCTGTGGGTTTAAAAATGCTTGAACATAATCTAATAATATCAAATATCATATAATCATTAAAAATGTCTTGCTTAGTGCTATAAACAAGATTTTGTCTTCACTTTCTCTCCACTGCACATTTTAGCCATTAGATTTTAAAAATTATTATTAAAATATAAAACTATAAAAATAAATAAAGTCAAACTGTTTAAACTTGATCTAAATAGTTCATAACTGTAGTTAAAAATATTTTAAAATTATATATTTTGTATGTATTAACTTTCGACTATTAACAATATAATCTTATTATAACTAACATGTGCATTAGATAGGAAATGTATTAGATAAGAAAATGAACTACTGAGACCCCCTTTTGAGACTTCTTAATATTAAATTTGAATGAGTGGTTAGTAGTACTTTTGGAGACTCACCAGAGCCAAGATTTGTCTCTAAGTTCAAAGAACTCTACTTATATATCGCCTACCAACAAATCTCATATTGGTGGTGAGATTTTCATGGGCCAATTGGATTAACCTTTATTGGTTCTGAGTCTTATACAATTGTCACAAGAAAATTATTAGTCTTTGCTTAATTTCTAGCCGCCTCTAAGACCTGAGAGTGATAGCTCCAAGACCCTCACCATTTTAAAACCTATATAAACCCCCACAACCATAACTTTATGGAATATCCCAAAACTGCTTCTATCTCTGATAAACAAAACACACAAACACATTCGCATAATGGGAGAGATGAGAGCGAGCAAGGTGGTGTTGGCCATTGTAATGGCTTGCATGATGATACCAGGAAGTACTTTTGTTCAGGCTGAAGGGAACTTGACGTGTGACCAGGTCACCATATGGCTCACGCCATGCATAAGCTACGCAGTGCTCGGAGGTGATGTGTCGCCGCTGTGCTGTCAAGGAGTTCACTCTCTAAATGCGGCGTATAAGACCGCCGACGACCGCCAAGGAGCATGCCAGTGCATCAAAGACAAGGCTGCCTATATTCCTGGGATCAACTATGATCGTGTCAACAAAATTGGCCATAATTGTGGTTCTAATTGTCCCTTCAAAGTTTATCCTACCACTGACTGCTCCAAGTGAGTACTTATATATATAAGTGTGTGTGGATTTGTTGCATGTTATTTTACGCTATGTCATTCAACTTGACCTTTGGATTTTTCTACGTTCGGATTTTTGGATTCAAGACACTTCGTGATAGTTTTCGATTGAGTTTGATAAGAAAACTTTTCAGTATTTGTTTTGATCAATCTATTTGATGCATGTTATCGCATCATGCGATTCGACCAAGAATAGCGACTTAGTACGGGTGACATGATGCGATAATATTAGATAGATCTCAACTGGGTGATAATTAAGAATTTTATTGGTTAGATTATATTAAAATTTCAAAAATTGAATTGAAATTTCAAGAATTGAAACCATGCGTTTTGTTTCGCCAGAACAAATTAGGGCTTGTTTGTTTAAGATTAAAAACAAGTAATTTTAATAAGACTAAATATGAGAAACTTGTTTTAAGTATGAGGTGCTGGTTAAAAAAATTTAAGTTAGTTATATCATGTATATGAGGGGTGATGTATTGGAAAAAACTTAGCTTATCATTAAAAGGCTAAAAATATATTTTTCAGCAAAATATTTATGATTAGTTTAATTTCTCCAAACAACTCAAGTCTTAAATTTAACTAAAATCACTTTTTTCCTTTGATTTTAAATAAACTGGTCCTTAATTTACAATAACTATCTCCAAGTAAGTAATTTCTCATGGATTCAATTGGGAAATTTAGTTCTGCTTGTGATGTTCTAGTAGAAAAATCCTTATTGTGCCATATTATTAAACTCAATTTAAGATATATAGCTAGTATTTTTCTAATTAATTAGTACAGAAGGTGTTGTTACATAATTACAAACCATTGAATATTTGTGCTGGTATAGTTAAAAAATTTGATTGAATGGGAAAAGGATAATAAGGGACTCCATAATAATATTAATGATAATTACAAACCCTAACTAAATTATTGAAATTCTAATAAAAGACCATGGTTCTAGTTGTAGTTAGTTATCTTTTATTAATTGGCTTGAGATTCATAATAAATATTTATAAATTTTCAAGTAATACTATAAAGATTCTTAAGTATTTTTTATTAATTTTTCAAGTGACGCAAAAAAATCACAAGTAATTGGTTTGCAAGTCTCAACTGCCCCTTTTAAATTTATAATTAACGTTACAAATAATTTTAAAAGTATTTTATTAATTTTTCAACTAACTATTTTTATTTTTTTAATTGCGAAAAGTAAATATTTCACACACACACGCAAATATATATTCCTATATATGCCAAATCAAATAGATTTTATCTTCACTTTATTTCGGTTCTAATCAAACAAATTGTTAATTACGTGATTGTCATTCTGATTGATTGCAGGGTGAAGTAAGCAAAGAATGGAAACTGCCATGTCTCGTCAGTATCAGTATGAAAGAAGACGGCGCATTCTGTTAAGGATCTTTGTGAGACTTGATGGCGCGGCTTAACTAATAATAATATATAATACAAAAATAAATTAAAAAAAAGGGTGTATGGATCGTATCGAATTGGTTCATCAAACTTAAATAATTTGGAAGCTCAATAAAAATTTACGTTTCAGCATTAATGATATGTTGTTCTTTTCATTGTTTTAGTTTAATCACTTCTTATCCTAATTATTAAAGCTAGCCTACTAGCTAGTTTAATTACCGTTCGTATAGATACTTTTTCCCTAATATCTTCCTTTATTGCTTCCCTGGTAAATTGACTGATTAAGTTGTGGGACAAAATTAACCATAATCTATAAGACATGCTAAGAGTAGAAGATGTAGCAATTGAGATTGGCTTAACTAATAACTATAATTGATAAAATATAGCCTAGCTGGTAAAAGGTTATTTTAGTTCAATCAAAGATCTTAAATTTGATTGTGAAATATGCAATTGCATTCTATTGGAAAAGCTTTGCTTTCTTCCTCTTCTTTTTTTTTTTTAATTAAGGGATATTTTTGCTCCTTAACTATTTGTTTAAGCATGGATATTCTAGCCTTACATATGGTGTAATTTTCCCATTCAACATTTAAAAATAATAAACTAGGTACCCAACGATTAAAAAATAAACTTTGACCATTAGTTGATATGAAAAATTACATAAAAGGACTTCAAAATTACAAAAAAGAAGGACTAAAAAAATTACACATAAGTATTTTATAAGAAAATTAAAATCAATTAAGTCGGTAAATTACATATAAATATGTACCACGGAACAAATTTAATTTTTTATCCATGTAAAAAATCAAAATACGATTTTGACCAGCTACTGGGTAGTTAATAGATCACAATTTCTAACAACAACACCAATACATAATTAAAAAAATATTATATATATATATATTATATAAAAATATATATATATATATATATATATATTACAAACCTTCACACACAATTTATTAGTTAACTTTTGAAATTTACATATTCTCTAGATATTCATAACTTAACTAGCACATATGTTATTCATAAATGAACACAATTTTAAACTAGCTATTAATTTTTGTAGGAGGACTTGTAAATTTTGGAAGAAGACTTATAAATTATCACACTAATTTAAGAATTTAATCAATATTAATTTACATATAGGATGTAATGACATCCGTCATTAACCAACATTAAACTCAACCATTTCAACTTAACCCAAATGATTAAGAATCAACCATGGCTACCATTAAATAAATTAAAATTCTTAAAAGTTTTTTCAAAGACTTGGGATTTGAAAAGTATTTGAAATGAAATACAAAAGTAAAAGCCTTAAAATCCATTGGAAATTAGATTAGATATTATCATGGAAATATGGAATAGTGTTGGGTGCTTAAAAAAGGAACAAAAGGGTAACCCTCCCCTATATCTACTAGATATACGAGAAAATTAATATCATCACCACATACAACACAAAATTGTAGTTAATTACTTTATTTAAAAAGCTTGAACCCAATACTTATTTTAAAAATCATCAAAATCATTAACACATCAAAGAAATACATGCATTCATCACACTCATTGCATGCTTTTAAAACCATATTAGAAAGTCAAAAATTTAAATCATGCACTATGGTGTGCATCACATGTGCCACGGCATGTGACATAAAGCCACGAGCTGGCCTTCTTTGTGTCATGCGCCGTGGCGCACATGCCAATTTTTGCAATTGTCATGTGACAATTCGTAAGGTAAATGTCTGGCATATGTTGTTTCCACATACAACGTTCGATTGAAGTGATTCAAGGGCCCACACGAAGCTTATTTCATAAGCTAACTAATGAGATAAGTTTGAATATGATTTAATGGTCTGATCAAAATTTATCCACCTAAGCGCTCAAATCGATTGTATTATCTCATTAGACCATTTTAGGATTTGAACCAAGTTCAAAAGGACCTAATACACCTACTTGACCACAATATATAGCATACATGTGCATATATCAAAAATTAGCTGTTCAATAGCCCATTTTCACAAACATAAACTTTTCACAACTTGGACAAAAACATTCCTTTAGCCATTTTCACTATAATATTACCACAAATTCACTTTATAATCACCACTAGCATATTTATAACATGTTCACCACTCAATAAAATATAATTCTAGTTACTCATTTCACCACATATTCACACATAAGGATTAAGATTTACAAAATCATTACAATTCACAATAAGTCACAACTTTAAGCATGCATGCATGTCCTATGGCAACTTATATACTCAATATACATAAGAAAAATGTTCATTACACAAAACTCCAAGATTTCAAAGCCACAGCACATTATGTCGGTCATGACTCTTTCTCCTTACCTTGATCACTACTTTGTTTTATAAAAATGTAATCACGGGATGAGATAATAATCTCAATAATAGAATAACTCTCTTTACTAACTGTCACATGCAACCATAAGCAAGTATTACATAATATATAGTTAAATATAGCATATAATATGGATTTCATTTCAAATTACCATATAGTCTTTCAACACTATGTTCACCACAAATTCATCACTTATTATCTCTTTCACAAGCAATTTTCACAACTTATCGCAATTAGAGCACATAGCATGATCACTACTATCCGAACCTCTAAATCACCCCAACTCGAAATCATAGGCTCACCTTAGACCAATACACACATTCATTAGCCCTGATTTCACTTTCAGTGGTAGAATCACCTGGCCAAAAATGTTTTATCTCACTTTCGGACTATGGTTTTAAATAGGCTGTTGTTGACTCTAACATTGCATCACATTGATACTAAGGAGTCTGAATCTCCAACACCGTACCTTAATAGGCACTAAGGAGATAATATCTAATACCGCACCTCAAAAGGCATTAAGAAGATACAATTCTCCAATATCGCACCCCGTTGGTTACTAAAAAAAATATACCATATAGTCTTTCTCTACTTCTCCCTACAGGTGAACTCCTACCCCTATAATTATGCTTTCTTATAATCACCACATTTCCATACTATATATAACCATATGCATATATATATATATATATATATAATCGTAAAACATTCAAGGTCATAAACTTAACTATTTATAAATCAATGTCATGCAACAAATATTTAATTGGCAAACATGCTTATTTTTAAATCATTTCATGCAGTAATACTTATATTTTCAAACAATTACAATAGATAATCAAATAGAGGAAGTTATTTGGTTACTCCAACCCTTCTGTCACAAGAAAGGTTACTTGTGGTATTTTCTCAACCGCTAAAACTCTTTACAAGCTTTCTTTCTCACTTCACACAAGAAATATGCCAATCTACACACAATTGGCATACTTAATTAATTGATCTAATTGACAAAAAATATTTATTTATTACTTTAAGCTACAATTAGCCATTCATTCACTTTCACTTAGCTACTCTAGGCCTATTACCACTTAATTGCTACTTTCTATCACTCTTAATAATCTCATTTCACCTCTATTCCATTTTCACCCCTATTTTCCCTTTAATTTAGGGCTAAATTGAGCTTATAGGCTCAAAACTCTATCGTTCAACTCCAAACCAATCACAAAGCTCTAATTTAACTCTTAAGAACCTTTTTATTATTATAGGGTAAAAAACTAACCCCTGAAATTTTCTTGATTCAATTTGTCTATAACCTATACTAAGAGAACTTAGAGTAGAATTGAAGGTAAAGGCTGTACAAAGCTTACCCGATAAGTTATTGGTCAGAAGTCTCTTCTTCTAAGTTTTCTTGCCCTATCAGACCTCTACTTCTTCTCCACTCCCTCTCACATTTTATTTATTTCTCCCTTTTGAAATCGAAGCCAAATCACGACTTAAGGGGCCATTTTCTGTGCCATGTGCCACAGTGGAAGCAGCATCAACTACGGTGCATAGCACAATGATTAAAATCCTCACCGTGAGCACACACTTCGTTTTGAAATATAATTCTTCCACCTATATTTGTTCATTAAACATTCCAATGGGTTAGAATACCAAGCTTTCACCTAAATCCTAATCATTTACTAATTACTAATTCACCCTTGATTATAACTAATTTAAGGATTAGAAAACTAAGATATTACAGTTCTCTTCTCCTTTTAAGAATTTTCCCCCAAAATTCATAAAACACTTAAACACATACCTATGAAAATAGATGGGGATATTGATGCCTCATCTTATCCTTTGTCTTTCAGGTAGCATCACCAGGAGCCATGCCTCGCCAAAAAATTTCACTAACTGTATGGTCTTATTTCTCAATTGTTTGTCTTTCACATCCATAATCTATTTTGGCTCAGCCTTATAGGTCAAATTCTTCTGAAGCTCAACCTCTTTTGGTTCTATCATATGAGAGGGCTTTGGTTAGTACTTAAGCTGTGACACATGAAACACGTCATGCACACCAAAAAATTATGACGGCAAAGCTACTCTATAGGTAACTAGTCCAATTCTCTCTAAGATCTTGAGAGGACCAATGAATCAAGTAGTGAACTTCTTGGCTCTAATTGACCTCCTGATTCCTGTCATTAGTGTAATCCTCAGAAATACATGGTCTCCCACCAGGAATTCTTCTATGCATGTTTTTGCTTGCTTTGAGCCGTTAACAACTTTTGCCTAACTAGCTCAATCTTCTGAGTTATCTGATCCACCACATCTATCCAACATCAAGGTGATTTGCACTTTCTCCCATATAATGTCTCATACAATGCCATTTGAAAAGAGGATATTTTTTTGCAAATTTTTGAAATTTTGAAATAAATAAAAAAGTAAACTTTTGAAATAAAATCGAGCTTGCAAAAGGAAAAATCACATGTGACAAACAAAAATAGGAAAGAAAGAAAGAAAAGTCAAAAAGTCAAGTACTCAAAGACAAAAATAGGAAACCAAATAGATTAGGAAAGTAGCACAAATAGAAAAATAAGAAAGTAGAGAAATTGGAAAATGCTACCAAAAATTAATATAGAAAAGTGATTAAAGTAGAAGACTTTCTTACCACCCAAGTTGAATTTTCTCTTTAGGCAACCTCTTAGTAACTTGGAGTTCGAGAATAACCTTTTCCTACAATCGCAACTTATAAAATATATATATATATATATTGTAATTTTTCTTAAAATTTTCAGATTTTTTTCCTTTTTTTTCCAACACACTAACACTTTTTTTTGACCCTTTTTGCATGAATTTTTAGGTATTTTTTTACCATGCTAATAACATAAAAAAAATAACATAGGATG